AGAGGGGATGGTACTGCCACCTAATATTGCAAGGAGGAAAATGGGGAGGCCTAAGACTGCAAGAAGAAGGGACCCCAATGAAAAAAACAAGGAAAACATATAAGGCTTCAAGGCAGGGAATATCCAAGAAGTGTGGGTTATGTGGGTCAACTGACCATACAAGGAGGAAATGTCCAAATCCACCCCTACCTGCTCAAACAACAAGCACAGAAAACATACAAGTAAGTAATCAATTACATTAAGATATAAATTATGACTTGCTTTATATTTTTATTAAGTAATCAATTATGACTTGCTTTATATTTTTGGTGCACTGTCAGACAACACAAGTAGCAAATGAAGGTACAAGCCAAACCAAAAAGAGAAAAAAGCCAAAGGGGAGCAAGAACAGGATTGGTCAATCAGTGGAGGAAATAAGAAGACAAAATATTCCTACAGCAACATCAGTGTTATTAGAGAGAAGATGTAGAGGTAGAAACAATAGTACACAAGGGGTTTCAGGTGCAACACAGCCACAAGTTTCAACTTTTTGGAGGGGAGGAAGCAGAGGTAGAGGCAGAGGAAGGACTATTCACAACAAAATGCCTAAAGGGTTTGGACTATGGCAAGGTGAACATTGTGAGGCAATATACAGAGCAACCAGTCACACAGAGGCCAAAGTTATCCAAGGACCATCAACTCAAGCATCAGTCAATGAACACCCAAAGTGTTAATTAAGTGGTTGTGCTGTGTATATTTTGTCTAGTTTATGTATGCTACATGATGTGTTAAGCACAAATAATTTGATGTGTTGTGCATATTTTGTCTAGTTAAAATACACTACATGATGCGTTAAAGTGTTAAGCACAAATAGTTTGATGTTGTTGTGCATATTTTGGCTAGCTTAAATGCCAATTTCTGTATGCTACACGATTTGTTATGCACAAATAGTTTTTGGGTTTTACACAGGTGGCTCATTCTGTCCATTTTTAAGTTTCTGGGTTTGGAAGTGATGTTGTTGTAGTGGGTTATTGTGAGATTGCATGTGTTTGATGTTGTTAGTGTGGGTTTGCACATGTTTGATGTTGTTACCATCTCAAATTTACAACAAAATGAAAACAAAGATTTACAACATTTCATTTGAAAGCTACATCACAAACAAAGCATCTGCCACCGGTTAAAAACAAAATACAACATTTTATTTGAAAGAGTACATAATACACCATTACATTGTTATAAACGAGAGCATCTCATTACAATTGCCCACTAAAATTTACAACAAAGAATCCTAAGCAGGTTACAACAACTCCACAGACCATAATTAACATCTCATATAATTTGAGCTTATTCTGGTGAAGTTTGATCAGATCCTCACATCTTGTTCTACCAATCTTTAGGTTTGAAATCTCCAGTAAATAAGAGTCAGCCTCTCTTTGACACATACGTAGCTCTTCTTTAGTCTTGGCAATATCATCACGACATTCTTTCATCTCATTCTCAGCACGTGCAATCAATTGATCCTTCAGTATATCATTGTTCCTTAAGTTCAATAGCTCTTCTCTCAATAGAGGTACCAATTGAGATGCCATATTACACAATTGACCATCAAACCATTCCCAAACATGACAACCACACCCATTCTAGAACCACATTTTAAAAAACATACTATCAATCTCAACAAATCAAACAAACGATAAAACTGCATTGAAAATTTTACCTTGTAGTTTCGACATCTGTAAAACCTCCTCCCGGGGTTTGCATCTATCATCGATGTATAATAGTCACATTCAGCTCCACAAGAACAGTTTTTGACCCCGTACCTCTTTGCTTCTTCATTCCATTTCTGAATACAACTCATATTGTTGAATCCGCCCCTAATTTGGTAGTTTACTCCAGATCTAGATATGCTTGAACCTCCAGATCTATTCCTGCTTGAACCTGAGCTTGAGCTTGACGAGGCCATGTTGGGACTACCACTAATTTGAAGATCTGAGTGAAATGTGAGAAGGGATGATCTGAAACTCTAACTTCAAATTCATCCCCAAATTTGATCGTGAGTGGGGAATGAGGAAGATGAGAATTTCAGCGGCCTTATTTATCCACGTCATTACTAAATTGCCAAATCATCACCCATGTTATCCCTTTAAATGCAACGTGAGCGACGAGATTTTGAGTTTTGAACTCCGGCGAACAGTATGTGCCTTGTTGACAAAAAGATCCATTTTTAATGTCTTGTTGTTGCCGGAGTTTTTTTAAATACCAACCTGGTAAATGCGTTCGTATAAATATACCAATTTGGTATTTTAGCCATTTAAATAGTGAAATATTTGTAGATATTCCTATAATTTCTAGGGAATCTGTAGAACCTAACACTTCTGAAAAGCGAAAAATGTAACCATTATATATATCATGTTGTTTAAAATTTACATCTTCAAATTTATATATATGTCTATTTCGCATAAATCTTATATGAATTGTAAAATTCTTTATAGGGCTTGACAAATATGTCTGGAGTTCCATCGCGGAGCAGATCACGTAGAATTATATAGCGTGGAGACCTACATCGTCAGGCGAGAGATCATAGGAGAGAACTCGAATCTGCTCATGTTACTACATCCATACCTAGCATTGGGGAGTTTACTCCAGTTAGAGGTAACTATTTAATTTCTTTCGATTCTGTTTTAACATGACGCGTAATTTTTATCCCTTGCTTATATCTCTTTATTATGTATTGTTAATATCACAATTGTACTACTCCTGATATTTAATACAGATGTAGACACAAATCGGCAAGCACCTATAGAGGAAAATGATTTATCGACGACCCCCATTCACACTCCATACCTTCTGGACAATCGTCAGGTTAGTATCTCTTCTATACTCAATCAAGGATGTAATTCAGATGCTTCTTTCTTTCTTTATTATCTTTTGGTGATTAATGTGCTTTGCTAAGAAATGCTTACATAATGCTTCTATCTCTTACATAAATTTGGAAGACTTCTTTACAAAATATTGAAATTGAATAGCTATAAAGAGAATGCTTTCCTCAAATCAACATGAAATCAAACCTCTTGATTTTGCTTGAGCAATTAACAGAAATTAAGGAACAAAAATCAATTGTCAACCGCTACCTCTTTTTCAGATTCGGTAAGATTATTCCAAAGAGAACTTATGTACTTGATCATAAGCTTTTCCTTCCCAGAATGCAAAGGCCTTAGTTTGGAATAATGCTCAGCGAAGAAAATATTGTAGCCTCCTACATTTGAAAGCATGTTATGGAAGCCAGAAATACCAAGAAGAAACTAAACCATGTATTCAATAATAGAAATATTTTCAAAAAAATTAATAATAATAGAAATTAAAATACTAATTTGTTAACAACATCTGTAATTAATAGGTATTAAAAACAAAACATAGCAAATAAGTCATAATATAACCTATTATACTCAATTTTATAAGTCCATGATCGAAAAATAATATAGCTCATAATCCCAAAAAGTAACAACAATGTCATTTACAAATAATTTCTTCAAGATATGCTCTTTTGAACAAGCTGAAGTACTAGAGGGACAAAAATGCTACAAAAATAGTGGAAAGAAAATACTAGATCTGCAACATATTATTAGATAAATAGTTAACAACTAAATAATGAAAGAGTTACCTTAAATGTGTAAAGTTTACAAAGATGTTGTTGTGAATGCCACATATTGCGGTGTTCTTGGTGGTCAACAAATTTCACTAAACTTTTAATAGAACTTGGACAACTGCGAATGTTGTGACCTTGTTGGTTGCACATCTTCTAATAAATTCTAGATGTGATATTAATGTAGTTGTTTTGATCATCTTCTAATCAATTCTATTGTTTAGTGTTTGTTTTTGCTCAGATCATGCAGTTTATACTTACATAATTCATTTTTATTGTGTAGTTGCATCTACATCTGCACCGCCATGTGTTCCAAAACACACTTTTAATCTTCGTCATAATCGTTCTCTAAGACGTGCGGAGCAACGTGGCGATGGAGGTAGCAATTTATATATATATCATTTATTACTCTTTATAGTATCTAATATCTTATTTGTCTCATCACATACAGTACATTCACGATCCTCTGTTCACACTCGAGGCCCCAATACTACCCATAACCTGATGCCTGATACTGAAAAGGGAGAAAAGACATGGCCTTTGTACCTCAATAATAGGGGCCGTCCCATTGGTGACTATGCTGAGAAATGGGGAAAGTATGTTAGGGAGGAGAGTCGTAAGTACTGTAAATATCCTCTCCATTTAGAATGGGGTGATGAATATAATAGGTCATTTGACGATTTCTTTATAACATGTCAGGTATAAATATATTTTTATTTTTATTTTTCTAATTAATTTGTTATCATTTGGTACATAATATTTTAACCATGTGATTCGTTTATTGAATATGCAGATGTATTATGAGTTTCTCCCTTTGGATCCTAATCAGCCTCTCTCCCATCAGCTTGTTTATCAGGGAATGAAGTCTCAGTTGCAGGCACTAGTACAAACTGTGGCAGCCCCAACGGTTCAAACCGTTGGGGCAGATAGTGACCCCAACGGTTCAAACCGTTAGGGCAATAAATTCACCCGTTGGGACAAATTGCGTTGGGGCAAAGTTTGCCCCAACGGTTGTTTTAGCAGCACCAACGATTCCAACCGTTGGTGCTGATATTTTTTAAATTTATTTCTTAAAATATAAAAAACCATGCACCAACGGTTGGAACCGTTGGTGCAAACATCAGCACCAACGGTTCCAACCGTTGGTGCAAACAACTTGTACCAACGGTTTCAACCGTTGGTGCTAGTTGTTTGCACCAACGGTTGAAACCGTTGGTGCTGTTAACGTGCACAACTAATGCACCTTATCAACCCATAGTAATATGAGAATTCAAGAATGATAATCAACATGTTCATAGCAATATCCATACAATTATACAACCAAAACATAAATGTCATAAAATAAATTCAAGATCCTCACACCATATGCAATTATAAGCCAAAACAAAAAAAATTATTAAAATGAAATGTGAGTAGTAATTTTTAAACAAATAATCACAAACATAAAAAATATCCAAAATACAGTATCTCAAATATCTAAAAAGTACAAGTCACTACTGACTGAATTGAAGAAAATCAACTATGTTAATCCCATCAAGCGCAACTTGCTCTGTGTCATTCACAAAACTTTTAGCAAAAGGTATATAAACAGTTGCAAACTTGCAAAACTGGCAACAATTGCATGCTATGAACGCTCTTGAACGCTCTTCAACTATGAACGCTCTACAGAGCTTAACCGACCATCACCCTTACACAAAGCAACCAACAGGCCGCATGCACAGCAAATATATCCAAACTACACCGACACGGGCATCAGCACGTAGCTAGGCTCTCCGCACGCAAACTATAATCTTTGACAAGGTGAGTTCTCTCCCCTGTGATCTTTTCTTTACAACATTTCCTGAGATCTTCTCACACACCTGCTGACTCTCTTCTTGAAATCATTCGGCTTATCACTCCATTCCTTCTGGAATGTCAATCAAAAAAACTTGCGTCATGTCAAACTTTGTAATAATATGGTCAAACTAAGGGATGTATGCATGTAGTTGTGACAAAAAACTACATGCATGTAGTTATCACAAAAGAAACAATATGAAATAGAGATCAAAGAATGTCAGAAACAATAACCATCTGTATATAAGTAAGAAAAAGAAATCACTTACAGCTGCTTCAACATTAGCAGGAGATGCATCATTAGGACTAGAAAGCATGGAGATTATGCTCAGAACTATACTCTCAACCTGCTTATTTAAAAAATCTCAATTAGCTATGAATATATAATACAAATTACAAGCATGAGAGTTTTTGCATAATTATAAGAAAAATTACAAGAATCAAGTGAACATGCACAAAATAAACAAAATACTGCAGAAACACAAGCATGAGACATTTTGGTGAATACGCTCGCAAGGCTTGGAAAACTACAAGAATTTTTCCCGTCTGATATTACACTCACTAATTTATTATTTCATTACTGAACCTTGAAGTAGATATGTTCTCATCCATAGTAATAACAATGGTTATTACTCTCTGCCAGAATTGGCTTATTTCTTGCATGTTTTTACTCATCAAAGTCTACTTCTATGATTTTGTAGATCATCTTTAGGAACCTTATCTAGAACATCCATATATCTAAGACTTATCTAGAACATCCATATATCTAAGAGATCTGAGAGGCTGTTATCATTTCCATAAGTACTATTGACATACATGGGCTTGTTTGTTTGCATTTAGTTTAAATGTAGAACCTATATTTATGTTCCCAGGTCTCTTGCCACCTCCTCTATTACAGCTATTAAAGGATTTTATTGTGTCATTTGACAACATGCAGTCATAGTAATCCGACTCCAGTTACAAAGAATTATAGATATAATCCAATTACAATCCACAATAGGAAATTGGTACCCAAGAGGTAGAGACTTCAAACCAAAGGTATTTCCCTAAGATCGAATCACAGTCTATCAGTGCAATAAAGAACTAAGTTTGCTCTAACGATTTACCAATAGGAATATCTCAACAATTCAGAGAAAATAGTGTGGTTACAACTCAAAAGGCACTGCAAAGAAGTAAGGGGGAAGATGAAAAGAGTGAATACACAAAGAGTTAGACGACAACCTGACGATTAAACACGAAGAATCTGGAACTAAATGACAATTCTTAGTGATTCAGTTCTTCTTTAAAAAAATGATTTATACATTTTAGTATGTTATTGTTTTTTGCTATCTTGCCATGACTAGTAGTCTATTAGTTCCAACAGTATCTTTCCAGAATCGAAGACTTATCAGCAAAATCAAAGATATACCATCTTTAAGTACATACTAAAACATTTGTGCATAGGGCCTCCTTAGTTCATTACGTGGTTGTTTGTGTATCTGAACAGTTATATCCGTCATTTATTTATTTAAGATACCGCACACAAGTAAATACTAAAAGATGCATGAAGATATATGCTAGCCCCCTTGTGTTAATTATATTCTGCCTCAAAAGCTCTACAAATACAAACAAATATGCGCACTGGCAAAACTTTTCTGCATCTTTTAGTGATCCTAATTTCAAAACCACTAATTCAAAAATAATCGTTTCGCTTTGCAATCGAAGCAGAGGCTTAATTTAATGTTTCAGAGAAATCCTTGAAATTCTGATAATACCCCAACAATTACACTAAACTGTACCTAGAAAATACTTAAACAGTAAAATTTACACATTAATATTTACAATTGACAAAGAAGGTTACCATGTGAACAGGTGTCCATCGATCGCTTGCAAGCTCATAGCCAGTGGGGTCCTCCCCAGGTGCATGGAGAATTGATATACAAACACGCCCGTCAGGATAAACTGAGATATGCAAGATAAACAAAGCTTTCTTTACCATGAAACAAGATAATATCACAGGTTGTAGAGACAAAAGAGCAGGCAACTAACCATTTGGGTGCCACATCCTTGACTTAATTCTAACAGAAGGAGGGCTGTTAGGATAATTATCTGGAAAACTCATAATGGCATTAAAGTAGCCTCCATTACTGAAATACCATTGGAACCCAATCAATATTTGTGGACAGAAATATGCAGTCTATAATTGCTATATAAGCCAGAAGAGTGTAATATGTCAATAGTGCAAAAAATATTTATGCAAGAGTTATGTGAAAGATACCAAAGGAATCCTGGTTGACAAGCCATTCAACACTCCCAATCTTACGAAACCCACAAAATTAGAATTTTTCTTCAACAGTTCCCTTAATTGATCAGCAAATCCTACAATCAAACCACCATTGATAAAGTTTTTATTAGGGTTTATATACCATTAGACCTCTAAAAACAAAAAAAATTAGGTGACTAATCAATCTATCAATCAAAGAATCAAACTTTGCAACCCAAGCAGAGATCTAATGCAAAATATCCCACTAAATCATAACCTTACCTTTACCAACGAGCTTGGATGTCTGAGATGGAGGATGAGGCAGCGGCCGAAGAACTGCTAGAGGAGAAGGAGGCGGCGGCACGCTCCTACTGGTGACGACGATGTGGATTTTAGGGAATTTTGGGGAGAGAGATGTAAGAGAAAGAAGGAGGGACTGCGAAGCTTGTGGTGGCTAGACGAGGCCGTTAGAAGAGTAGGAGGAGGCGGAATTAGGGTTAGGGATTTGCGGGGAAGGGAGGCGAGCGAATTAGGGTAAGGGTTTTCAAGGGAGAGGAGGAGGCAGGCCTCTTAACTTCTTCAACAACCAAAATGGAAGATTCTTTAATGTGTGTGATTTCATTTAACAGTAACGCAACCCTTATTAAAGTCAATTCAGCAACAAGTTTAGCCGAATTGAAGATGAAAGCCGTAGAGAATTTTAGAGTACGGTTCGAAAGTTTGTTGATAAGTTACTCTATCGATAAGTTTCCCATTGTCTCGTTTGAGCTTTCAAAAGATGAAGATATTCTCAATATGATAGGTTATCATCGTTCAATGGGGTTAAATACGTTGACCATGACTGTTACTGAAAGAGATGAAGGACCCACTCATGCCATAGGGTCAGAAACAGAGCTTAAGTAAGTATTCAAAAGTATATTTTCATGTTCTGGATACACGTCACATATTCTATTATATATGTGACCTGAAGACATACCACGTGACATTTGGACCTTATTTGTGATATATTGTCTTTATTTGTGACATTTGAGTCTTATATGTGACTTTACTGGTAAGTATCACATGTGACTTATATGTGACCTGTACATTAAACCTGCAGTGTTCCTAATGTAAGCTCACAGTCATCAGAGCATATTGAGCAACCTTATGAGAGTATCACAATCGAGGAATCAGAGAGGATCCCAAATGACAACCCTCAAGGAGAGCATGTGTACAGTATGAACGACGTAGTAAGTGCCTCGTCACGGATCCCAGCATGGTGACACGAGGCAATTACTGGAAAAGGGCAGCAATTTGAAAGTGCAAAAGAAGCTAGAATGGCTCTTATATACTACTCTATAGCTAAGAAGTTCGCTTTCAAATATGTTAACAATGAGCCAAAACGTATTCGTGCTAGTTGCATGTTTAGAGAAGAAACAAACTGCCCGTGGTTGTTTTTCGCTTCACCATTGAGCCATGTGTCGACATTTGCTATAAAGAAATTTGTTCCTCAACATACATGTGGACAACATAACAGCACAGCTGGTCACTTCAGAGCATCAAGAAGGTGGATTGCGAGTATGCTACAATCAATTATGAAGAGGCGTCCATATATAACCCCAACTGACACGCGGTCTCGACCCGCAACTCAGGTTTCTCCGAGGCACGAATTGCGTTCTAAATTTTTCGCGGAGAAGCCTGTTGATCCATAGGGGGAACGTCCGGCTAAACGAAAGAAGCTGGCTTCTAAGCGACGGAGCAACCCTGAAATGGGATCGGCGACTCAAGGATTGATGGCTGAAAGGGGTGAGTATTTTTTCGTATAGTTTCTTCCGGTATATGTTGAGCTTTTGGACTTAAACAATTTCGTACTTCGCAGAAGAAGATTTTGCAAGCGGCTTTATCTTTGACGCTTCTTCCCCTGATATTGACTTCTCAGAACCAACTCCGGGAATCAGGCTCGAAGAGCTTGTAGACACTGAGACAAGTATTCCTGATGAGATCGGCGCGGGTCACGACGTCGAGCCAGGCTTAACCGAACAGGCTGAGAGTCCAGGTATACTTAAAACCAGTACAAGTTATTTGTGATTTAACCATCTTTTTAGGTACCAGATGAAGGTGACGGAAACAAATCCAGACAGTTTCTTCAGCATTGAACAAGAAGAAAGGAGATTCAAACGTTTATTTGTGTCGTATGGTGCGTGCATACAGGGGTTTCTCAAGGGATGTAGGCCGTTGCTCTTTCTAGATGGGACTTTTCTGAAGGATCGTTACAAAGGGATCTTATTAGGTGCGACCGCTTATGATGGTAATCAAGGCATATTTCCACTCGCATTTTCCGTTTGTGACCAAGAAAATGAAGCGAATTGGAGTTGGTTTATTCAAGGATTGCGGTATATATTGTACAATCGAACAGAACCATACAATCCACCCCTTTTGAACTTTCTTGTAGATGCGACAACAGGGGGTCAAGGTGATGAGGGGGGTTCCTAAGACGCACCTTTTGAAGAAGAGGGTCCAGCTTCACGTGATCCGGTATCAGCTTCTGATGATATGCTGCTGGACGATATGTTACGTGAACAAGCCCAATACAAGGCCACCGATCCAATAATCACAGCTGACTCGCCTGCAAGTACGGTTCTTATTCCCATGTCTCACTTATTTACTCATGATCTTTCATTTAATCCTGACTCGCCTGCAAGTACGGTTCTTATTCCCATGTCTCACTTATTTACTCATGATCTTTCATTTAATCATCGGAAGGTTCTAAACGTAGGACCAGTCATTAAGACTGATACAACTATTCCTAACGGAAAGTCTGGTGAATCTAAGGGTCTCGATTTCTTGCTTTTGGCAGGGGTTGTTATTAACGCTCGGTCATCAGACTTTCAGAAACAAATCCCGGCTTCCTTGGGAATGCCCACTACCGTTCCTGCTATAACTATTAGCGGGAGTTCGACTGAACAGGCTGTGAGACCAACTGAAGAAGTTGGTGCTTCAACGGCTGCTACCCTCGAAACACTTCCTGCAACACATGAAGTTGATCGACTCGAAACGGGTGTAGTACGTTCGGTTGAAGAAAGCTCTTCGGGGGCTGGTAAATCTTGCGCTATATTTTCGTCTTTTACCTTTCTGACTTAAAACTACTAGATATTCATGATCTTGCACTTCCTTTTTTCTTTTGTTGTTGCAGGATTATTGTCTCAACTTCGCGAAGCTGTTGATGCTTTATTATCCGATGATGATCCCGATAAGCTTCTCCTTTGCTTGTCTCAACTTCGCGAAGCTGTTGATGCTTTATTATCCGATGATGATCCCGATAAGCTTCTCCTTTGCTTAGAGGTCGGCAACTTCTTTAATTTTGTAGAGTCGTTAATCGACAAACTCCTGGAAAAGAAGATCCCTTTCAGCCACTTCCGGCTGGTCCTTGAGTGCAAAATAGCCTTAATAAAGGACATTGGCTCTCTCAATATAGTTGAAGCTTTGATCGACGATATGAATCAACTAGAGCGCAAATTTGTGAAACTACAAGAGCTCCAATCTGTTGGTATTTCTGGCTATGTTGCTGCTCGAATGGATGCTCGTTTGCAGACATGGCGTGAATCTCGAGCATCCGTTGGGCTTGGGATTCAGGTGTAGAGGAAGCGCGTTGACCAAGCGGAGGAAGTTCTTTCCGAAAGATTGGCTCATTTACGCGAAATCGACTCGTCGCTAGCCTCCGTTGACGTCGAAATAGCGGAGCTTGAACAGAAACTGGCGGAAGCAAAACAACGAAGAGCTATTTTGGAGGTGACCAAGGCCGGGGAGGATCATAGCAAAGCCGTGATGTCCAGCAAAGTGGCGCTCTCGAGGGAGAGGTTAGCCAAAATGGAGGAAGAAGCTGCCCAACTCCTATCTGCTTCTGAGGACTTTTTCAAGACAAAACTGCAGCGTGAGCTTGAACGTACTTATGCTGAAGAGTTAGCCAAGCTAGAGCAGCAAATTATTAGTCAAAAATTCAATGTAAAGTGACTGCAGCTGTTTTATCTGAACAACTATTTTTTTTGTTAGTGACATGCGTGTTTTGTTTAGTCTACTTTAATTCTTATTATGATTTCTCATTCTGTTTAGAATAATCAACCATAATACTTATAGAAATTTTGGCAAATCCTTAGCCGTCAACGGATTTGACATGCCTTTACCGATTACCGTTTGAATCGGGCTAGCCTGTGAATTATCTAGATCCGTTTCATAAGTAACGTTGTGCTAAAGGAATGAACTCCTTTAGACTTAATGCTACGAATTTGAATACGTAGACTTAGTCGTTTTCTTACGGTAAAAGACTAACCGGCAGCGCGTATTAGGCGCCGACTTATCCCTACTTAGGCTTCGGGATAAAAGTCCCCAGACTCAGATTCTGATATCTTTTTCAATCGGTGAAAGACTAAACCAGCAACGCGTGTTAGGCGTTGACTTATCTCTGCTTGGGATTCGGGATAAAATTCCCCATGCGTGTACGGCATGGATTGTTAGAGCTATTAGAATGTAGTGTCTTTTTACAGGGTAAAGACAAACCAGATACTGAAGAGGACGAATTTTATATTCTATCTTCAGTCCTTCTTTTAAGGGAGAAGTGGACTCGATACCAAAGAAAAAAAATTTTATATTCTATCCTTGGTTGCAGAAGAAACTTAAAGTGGGATCTCCACTTCAAGAATCTGTGAGATGAAACTAACAATGGGATCTCCACCCTGAGAATCGAGAGGATTGACCTAACCCTAACTTTTATAGGATTGGTTATCTGATCCGGAAGTAAGTTTTCTTGTTTATCAAGATGAAATTCGGACTCCAGCCCTAACTTTTATAGGTTTGGCTGAAGGGAAAGGAGTAAAGTGTTTTCGTTTATCGAAAAGAAACCCAATCTTGACCACAGTCATTTGACAGTTCTGACCAAAAAGGGATGTTGAGACGACACTAACTTTTATAGTTTTGGTCGTTCGAGTGGAGTGAAGGCCTTTTGTTTATCGAAAGGGAAATTGATTTGAAAGTGGGCCTCTCGTTCATGAAAGGAATCGAAAGGAGATTTTGGTCGTGGTCCTAACTATAAAAGGGTTTGACCAAATAAAAGTGGGAGTGTGGATACGAACCATAGTCGAAGTTTGACCAGGCTTGGCCCAAGGAACTTTGCTAGGTTCGCCATGAACTGATTTAATAGCGAGGAACTGTGAGAACTCTTTTGTGAGGGAAGATTGGTCCTAAAGAGTGATCAAATCTCCTCTCAACAAGAGAGTGCTTAGAAGATTACAGTAAGAGTTTACTATGACCAGGCATGAATTGTTCAGATGACGGGTCCTTATTTAAAACAACCGGCCTATTGTGGTAATGATTTTTTGTTTTCAATCAGATATGGGCATATCACTTCCAATGTCGCTGAATCTTTCAATAGTTGGATTCGTGTGGCGCGAACACTTCCCATTTGCGATATGATGGATCATATTCGTGTGCAAATTATGGAAAGGATGAATACTCGTCGCGAGATGGCAACAAAATGGAATAGCTATCTTTATATGGTATTCTCCAGAAACTTCCCGTTTAATAATATG